ATGAAAATAGCTTGGAAAATGAAAAAAAAACCTTAGACAAAATTTAAGACTCCCACTTGACAAAAACCTGTAAGTCCATTGGGCAGTTAATCAATTGAAAAAGAAGTGTTGCAGGATTTGATTGGTTAGGCAATCTCAATTCTTTGAACAGCTTCTTTACACCTGATATCTCAATTCTTGGACAAATACTTGTTGCTCACAGCCAAAGGGTTTTCCCTCCTGCCCATTAACATCCCCCCCCCTCCCCATGTGATTTAGCTAAAATTCTCCAAAACAAATCGGTACCCTAAAGGAAAACATATGCTCCTTCAAAGTTCAAACAGCCACTTAAAACAACCAAGGAGGGAACTAGAGCTCCTTTCTATCCACTTGGAGGCAATAGAAGCAGTTTCCTGCAACTTTGTTTCCCAAATACATGATTATAGAAAAGTGAAATGATAGGTGGAAAAGAGAGATGTTTTCAACTCTTAAAAAACTGCGAAGGATGCAGATAATTGCATATTGAATCAGATTTATAGCAATTTAAGGGATTACATTACAAGACAATCAGTTTGTCATGTCACAGACCAATGATAGAAATAGGGTGAACCAAGATAATGAGAACAAACAGATCTTGACTATAGCCAAAAATTCCAAAAAAATGAGATCAAAACAAATGAATACCAAATGCGATAGAAAAGTAAAAAGAACAAACAAGTACTATAACAAAAAAAGGAAAATAACAGATTAGGAGTCATTGTCATCTTCATCTTCTTCATCAGTTTACCCTGTTCAAATTTCATGTTGTTGTGAGTGGTGAGTGAATAGGCAAGGGGAAAAACAGAAAGAGAGAAGAGTTCTAGGGCTTCAAACCATATGCCTGTCTTATTTCTCTCATTTGAGAGACTTGCTTACATTAACACCATAGATACTGAAATCACAAAATACCCCCCAAAGGGGTAGATATTATATTAAAATCCTTGATTGTAATTTTTTTTCCAATATTATATTAAAATTCTTTTCTTGTATTCAATATTTCGTGCTTTGGTTCTTGTCAGACTAAAATTCATGATAACAAAACTTTTTTATACATGGCATACAATGGGTGTCAGAAGATTTTTTTTTTTTTATCAGAAGAAAATGGGTTTCATTAGATTTAACTAATGAAATAGATAACACAACTTGATGACGGTAGTGTCATCCCCCAAAATTCAAACCCAAGTTACATAGGAGCACCAAAGTACATCAGAGAAGAAAATTTTTTGATCAGTAAAAGTAATTTTATTAAGGCAAATTTAAAAGTTACAAGAGGGTGGGTGTAGTAACCACCCTAAACAACAAGAGATCATAGAATTTCCCAAAACAACTGCTGTCTTGAAGCCCCTTGTTTGGTTAAACTGTCTGACAAACCATTTGCTGTTCTTCTCACTCATTTAAAAGAAACATATAACTCCATTCTTAAGTTTACAATCTCCCTAAATTTGTAGTGGAAAACCCAAGGGATTTGGGTACTGCAACTTGTCCAAGAAATGACCACTTGAGAGTCCCCTTCCACCTCTATATTGTGGAAACCAAACTGTTTAGCAAATATTAACGCCTGCAGGAAGCTGACCAGTTCTGCTGTTGGTGCATTAGCATGCACCAAGGGACCTGAATATAAAGCTACCACTCTTCCTTCTGAATCTCTAAACATACCCCCTACCCCTGGCAGCCCCATATTGCTTATAAAGTTTCCTTCTGAATCTCTAAAGATACCCCCTCTCTTCTTAAATAGTCCAAACCACAGTTGTCCTCACTGTTTTCCACAATAATCTACCTCTTGCCTTTGGTTGTCTCAAGAAATCAGAATCAAAGAGGCCCACCACATCCTGAGGAGGAGTCCGCCTGTACCCAAAGAGAGCACTAAGATGCTGCAAAACAGAAAGCAGAAAACAACAGGAAGTAAAATTATGGAAAATAGATCCACTGTTGTCCTTGCAGGAGAAACACATGTGGGGGGAGAGGCTTTTATTTGTCCTTCTTTTGAGCATAATTCAGGCATTAATCTTTTCAAGAAAGACCTCCCAACAAAGGGCTTGGACTTTAGGTGGGATGGGCTTACTCCAAATTTCTTTCACAAGGAAATTAATTCCCAAAGTGTTTAGCTGTGTTAATGAGTTAAGAAATGAAGCACAAGTGAAAGACCCTATTGGGCTTGGACCACACCCTAGTTTGTTCCAAAGTTTGGTCCGAAAGGGAATCTCCACAACCATTTCCCTAAAACAGCTAGATTCTTCTGAATCAAGTTCCCTATCCCTAGTCCCCCTTTTTGTTTAGGCCTACTAACCTTTTCCCATTTCACCAAGTGCTCTCTCTTGTCCCCCCCCCCCCCGCTTTCCATAAGAAATCCCTCATAATCTTTTCTAGTTCCCCAGCAATTTTGACGGGAATGCGGAAAGTGGAAAGAAAATAAATTTGGAAAATTTGCCAAATGGCCCTAATTAAAGTTATTCTTCCTCCCATTGAGATATAATTCCTTGTCTATGAAGCCAGCTTCCGAAACCAATCAAATCTCGGATTACCGCCCAAAGGGATTCTAAGTACTGCAGGGGCCAGTTTTTAACTTTCACAGCCTAGCACCTTAGCTAAATCACAGATAATTTCCTCTTGTACATTAACACCCACAATGCAACTTTCCCCGGTTGACCCTTAAATTAGAAAGGTTCTCGTAAGAGCTAATCAGTGCTTTTAAATTTCTAAGAGAGACAGGGCTGTCATCACCACAAAACAGAATTATGTCATCCGTAGATTGCAAGTGTGTAATCACAACGTCCTCTCTTCCCACTCTCCAACCTCTTATTAAGTTATCCCAATCCGCTTTGGTAATCATCCTGCTCAAGAGCTCAGCAATCAAGGTAAACAGGAAGGGGGAAAGAGGGTTGCTCTGTCTCAAGCCTCTTTTAACAGGAAAAAATCTCTAGTAGTTCCACTAATGAGAATTGAATATTTCATTGAACTCAGACAGCCCTTGATCCACAATCACCATCTTTTCCCTAACCCAAACTTCTCCAAGACCTCTAGGAGGAAAGACCAATCTACCAAATTGTAAGCCTTTTCAAGGTCCAGTTTACAAATGATTCTCTTTCCTCCTCTCTTCTTCTTCTTCTCTACTACATACTCATTTGCCACTAAAATATGGTCAACAATTTGCCTTTCCTCTACAAAGGCCCCTTGGAAAGGTGAGATTATTGTAGGTAAGTCCTTCAATCTTCCCGTTTTGGTGAAAGACATCAAACACTTCTTTCAGATCATTCTTCAAAGTCTCCCTACAGTCTTCATTAAAAAGCCACAGTGAATCCATCTGGTCTTGGGGCTTTTGATCATAGAGAATACAGCCTCTCTAATCTCCTCAGTGCTGAAACAACCCTCTAGGGCTCTAGATTGGATGATTGCCACCCGAGTCCAATCCAACTCAGGGAGACTGTCTTTTCCCCTCAGAAGAATTTGCACTGAAAATTGAGGTATTCAACATGGATATGGCACCCATTTTGAAGTGTCCTTGAAAATGGTGTACCTTCTTTAAAAAGTGAATGTACAATAAAGGGCCGAGTTTCTTACCTTTCATCCACTCATTTACAAAATAAGAGTTCCCTTCAATGCATAATATTTCATAACCTAAAGAAACAACCAATCAAGAGCCTTGTAGTTAAGAATAACAGCTCAGCGTAAATGGAATTTCCGGTGGCAATAGGACCTGAGTGAACTACAAAGATCTTAGCTTTATGGTTTCAGAGTACCCTTCCTATAGCTCATGTTCCTAGATTACAATGGTTGCAGTTTATAAAAATTAAGTTCAACCCAGTTCAGTTGGAGGATCCTAGAAGGATGTGATTGCACCATTCTAGTTGAAATGAAACTACATGCTGCTTGACCCTAATAATGCTATCTCTGCTGAACACCCAGAATTATTCTGTTCTTTGAATCCATTGTATGTCTCTCACTTTTATGAGCATGATCACAGCATCTTTGGCCTATTTCTTGTTAAAATATCCTAATGTTCCTTGGCTCCTTGCTTCCCACACAGACCACAACATGGCAGTTCTTAATAATCTCCTTGTGATCTTTCATCTTCTTCCGGGAAGGGGGGTGAGGGTTTGAAAGGCTGTCTGGATTAGGTTATGTAACTTAGATAAAAGTTCAGATCTAAATATTTTAAATTAGACCCACTTCTTAAACTGTGGTTCTAAAAATGTATTAGGGTTTTATTCTCTAAGATGGGAACTTGTAAATAAAAAAGGCCACTACCCAATGTAGGTCCCATGTATGTGGGGTCTTGGGAGCGGTAGACCGGATAAGTGTATGTGTGTGTGTGTGTGTGTTTCCACCCTTTTGGCTGTTGTTGAGCCATACCTGTCCTTTAAAAAGAGATTTGGAGCATTGATAGCTAAAATCAACTCAACATAGCTTTGTACTAACTAGTTGGTTACTTCATACTGTTAGAGGTGTTAGTGAAGGGGTATTTCGGTCTTTGTACTTGTTGAGAATGTTGATGTGTACTGTTATGTTAGTTCGAGTGCCTCTTACTTAAATAAGGGCACTTAAGTCTTTTCCAATAAGTTAATAATATAATAACAGGTCTGGCCGAATCTAGGGATGATTTTTTTCTCTAATTCGAACCAGACCTCTCTTTTCTTTCTTCTTCTTTCCTCTCCTACTTCTTGCTGTTTACTTTACTTTACAGTCAACGAACAAGACATTCTAGGGCAGGTCGAACTTCAACACATACAAATCCTGTTTCAAAAAAAGGAGTGATACTTCTTGAATGTGTGCTTGGTTAGATATGACTTTGGAGTGGCCCAAGCTTTTCTAACCTCCCCCACCCACCCACCCACCATTGCACTGGGCATTGTTTGCTATCTACAAATTTGTGTTTGAATTTATCTTTTTTGACTTTTATCTTTATGGCAGAGTAATTTTTGCTTAGTCTTTCCATCTTTGGTTTTAGGAATAGTCAGATGTAAATTTAGAATTACTTGATGCAGGTCTGTGTAGATTGCTGAACATCCATAAGCTATCCAAGTTCAACTGTCCCTATATTTAGAGATGGAACATGGGGAACTGGAATTGGACGTTTTTTTTTTTTTCTTTTTTTTTTGTTAAATAGATCAGGTGAACATGCTCATGTTAGAGCATAACCAGAACTTGTGGATTACACTTATCGGGATACAGCATCATTGTTGTGGATCTTATATGCTGAGATGTACATAGTATACATTCCTAATGCAATTCTTTGAGGAAGCCACAGAACGATGTACAGGTGCATAAATTGGGCTTCTCAAGGCGCTAGCAATTTAAGTTGCATTATTTCGTCACTTACCAATTTGAAAAATTAAGTGACAAGGTTGAGAATCCTTCTTGCTGAGGTACGAATCCTTTATCTGTATGCTTTTTTTCTTATATATTACATTAATATTAAGCCAGTTTTATTGCAATTGAACTATCCTCGTTTTGAGCCTAGTTCACATATTAAAATAATACATGGTGCACAACTCTTTTTGATCAGCAACTGATAATAAATTTGTTGGTGGTATAATAATACATTGATATACTTCACAGTGGGTTGCTTCTTGGATTTGGCCTTGCCTGGAAATCAGAATTTCCACAGTGTTTTAAATTCTTAATCTAAATATTAGATGATTAAGAGAAGTAATTGCTGGGAAATATAAGCTGCAAGATGGCATAGCAGTCTAGTTTTATTCATATTCATAGCTGAAGAATTTATTTAGGATGAAGTCTATCATGCTTATATGCTTTCTTTTGTATAACTTACTGTGACAGGGAAGTTCTTAAGGTTCCATAATTCTGGGTTCATGTAATCTCTATAGAGGTTATCTCTTGGCACTGGCAATACTGAAAGAGTCTCTGGGAAATTTATCATTTCATTCAATTGGGTATTATCTTCTGCCAATTCAGTAGCTAACACTTTGGTAATAGAGGGTGTAAACAGAGAAAAAATGATGTGGAGGCCCAATCTTGTAAACCAGTGAAAGCCTGGGTGAGAAGAGGAACTGCCATTTAATGATTGATCTGTTACCAATAAAAAAAATGTAATCTCTATAGATGTTATTACTGCATCTTCATAAAGGAACTGCCATTTAATCAATTGTGTGAGATCACTAGAATCTGCAGAATCAAACCGACTGGTGGTGGCTCGGTTGGTAAGTCCATTGGCTGGTTGTAGTGGAGGCTTGGGATCAAAAACTACTGTGACCAGAGTTGGGAGGGTTATAGGTATGGGTGATGGGTCCCCACCCCCACCCCCCTGTTTTGTAGCCCATGAAGCCAAAAAAAAAAGTTTGCAGAATCTTGGATAAATCAAGATCAATTGGGTACACGGATTTGCTTTGCTTAGAATTTCTTGGTTTGCATATGCCCCAAATAAGACTGCCAGATTCAGGATTCCAGTTAGAACTGCTGAAATAAACCATGGACTTGTTGGATTTGTTTGATGTGATGGAATTGGTACTGAAATTTATGGACTAAAAGAGTGAATTCTGTTACATGGATGTTACACGGAATGGGAAAGAAAATGGATTAAAAATTGCAAAACTTGCCCTCACTTTCTGTCAAACAGTTGAAATGTGGCAAATATAAGAATCTGGAAGACACATCCATCAAACCAATATACTCCAAGGACAACACTAGTAGAATGGAAATTGATAAATCTGAACTTGTCAAACTCAGACAAATAGAAAGGATTCTGATGATCACTTTGTGTAGCTCTTTGTAAAAGAAGAAAAAGTGTTGTACAGCCCAGAATTTACAAAGTGATTTTACTTAAGCACGAAAAACTTGCTATTTACTTCTGTGAGGCTTTAACTGCAGCAGATCTATGTTCTGTAATTCTTATTCAATTCATCTTCTGTAGTGCCAATTATAGAAATTAGTTCCAGATTCTTCAACTTTTGCATTGGAATAGCATTTTTCCGTTGTTTCACTTCCTGTTTTCACCTGGAATTTCTTGTAGGAAAGATACCTTGAGGGTTGTAGAGATTCCAATGACTATTGATGGAATCATCAAGGCGTCTCCTAGCCAATTAGGCACCCTTGGTTGGGTGCCTTGCTTAAGAGCCTTGATTTAGAGCAACAAGGTGCTTACCTAGGCAACAAAATCATGACTGTAGCTACATCTTAGTAATATGTGTTAATAAATTCTCTGAGTTGTCATTTATGCCAATGTTTTAAAATATGAACTCATGAAGCTGTGATGCATCTACTACCTTGGGGCATGAGGGTAGTTCAGAACGTTAGAGGCATAAACCTCCCTAGCACAAAGAGGCATAAGCCTCCTAGAGAGGAGGGACAGGAGGAGGAAGATGCATAACACTAGCTGAAAGGGGGGGGTCTCTTTTGTTTTTTTCGTTTCATTTTCATGAAGAATGCTTTATATTAAGAATGAAGATGCCTAACACAAGCTGAAAGGGGGGACCAAATAAATAAGGACTAAGTGCTGAACCTTGGTGATGACCCATCACAATCGAAAAATCTGATGTCTCTTCCACAGGTGTTCTAACACTGGTTATTGCACTCTCATAAATATCCTTAATTAGATAGATCTATATACCTATTGGGGACTCCTTTTTTTCCAAGACCCGCCATATTATCTCTTTGGGGCCTCTATCATAAGCTTTCTTTAGATCAATGAACACCATATGGAGATCCCTCTTCTTCTCTCTTAACTTCTCTATCAATCTTCTCAAAAGAAAGATTTCTTCCATGGTTGATCTCCCTTGCATAAACCCAAATTGGTTCTCCGATATACTTGTTTCATTTTTCATGACATAACCTTTGCTCAATTATTCTCTCCAAAAGTTTCATAGTGTGGTTCATAAGTTTAATCCCCCAATAGTTATTACAACTTGGTATGTCACCTTTGTTAACATAGGCACCATATTTCTCCGGTCATCATTTTCTTTTTTTGCATTATCTTGTTAAATAGGTTAGTTAACCATAATAAGCCTACCTCTTTGGTTCTCCCACACCTTTCCACACCTTTATTGGAATATCATCTGATCCTGATGCCTTTCCCTTCATCTTATTTAGCACTTCTTTCACTTCAGCAATTCTAAATTTATGAAGGCATGTTTTATTTCTGACAGTGTTAGTATGACAAGTCTCTCCTCTGCTAGCGCCCTCTACATGTTTATTTAATAATTTTTCAAAATAGCTTTTCCATCTTTCCTTAATTTCCTCATTTGTTACCAAGACTCTTTATAACATGTTCATATTAACCTGATTATAATTTTAACCTCTTTATTCCACCACCAAGTTTCTTTAGCACTTTTCCTTTTCCCTTTAAATTCTCTTAAAACATCCTTTGCTCCTTTCTCTTTGTAGTTTGCCATGTCAAGCCACATCTTATGAGTCTTTCCATCTAAATCCCATTTTCCTTCTACCTATCAACTTGTTTCTAAATTATGCTAATTTTTTCCCTTTTAGATTTGCCAACCTAATTCTTGGACACCTTTCTTTCCTATTTCTTTTCCATTTTCTAATGCACACATCTAGCACCACTAATCTATGTTGTGTGGTTAAGCTTTCCCCCAGGGTAACTTTAAAATCCTTAAACATCATTGTTCTTTTTCTTTATTACTAGCTCTATCTTGAGTTTTTATGATGTCATATAAATTTATAGCCTTCTTTAGTGCTAATTTGAAATGAAATTTCCCTATTGATTACTTATAATTAGTATTGTTTTTGATAATATTGAAATTAATAATATTTAAAATACTATTTTCTTTTAGATATGATGTTTTTCCACATTTTGGGAGGAAATTAAATTTTTTTAATTAAATAGAATTTCTATTTTTCAATTAATATGCATGCTGAATGGTATATAAAATGAGGGACTAACCAAAGTTTGATTTTTATTTTTTAAAATTCTTATCACTTGGGCGATGCCTAGGTGACCTGGCACCCAGAGTCACCTAGATGCCTTGACAACTATGCACCAGTGAGGCATTTTCCATAACAACCATTTCTAACAACAATGCTTAATAGCGGAATTGGAGGTTTTTCCAGCAGTGCAGAATAGCTCTGTATTCTGGAATTGCTCTTTAGTTTATCAGCTTAAATTGGAATTCTTGGAACAAACTTACAATTCCAATTGTCCCCAAAATTGTTCCAAAACACATGGAGTTGACACAGTTCAATATAACTCCTTCAATGTAGTAAACATGACCATGGTGCTAAGTGCTACCTTTTACAAGGTAGCATTTTCCACTATTGCTTCATCTGATGCTTGGTGTTTGTACCTAATGCAGTAATTAACTTGTGGAGAAAAAAGACAAAAATATCTTCTTAGAAGTCAAGGTTGGGGTTTCTATGAGGGAAAGGATATTGATTAGGTCTAATAACATAGAAAAGTTTTATGAAAATTAACAAAATAAGGGGAAACAGAATTGATAGGTAGGTAAAGATGGTTGAAATATTCCTCGAAGAAAAGATAATTTGAAACAAGACTTGCATGCTAGTTGAGTAAATAAAAGGGCCAGTTAATGTTTTAAAAGAAGGCTAGGGATTTGAAACAAGAATGTCTGGAAGAGAATTGCAGAATCTTGGTAAGAAAAACAACAAAGAAAATGAAAAAGGAACACTTAGACTATAATTAGGGGAAAATTGGAAGATACACAAGATGATTCTGCAATGCTGAGAGGAAGGACAATAAGAAAAAAATCTCTCGGTGTCACTTGTCCATCTCCTAGCAATTTGGCACCGAACATCCTAATTGATAAGATTTTTATTTATTCAATAGTCAAAAGAGTGTTAATATGGGTTACATAAATGATGCGAAATATCTTCTTTTAAGATCTACTATACATTTGTTTTCCTATATACTAAAATTAAAAGAAGAAATGCTTGCTATAATATCTTCTTCTAGATTTTGAATTTTGAATATCATCCCTACATAGTTGTCAAGGCAACGCCTACATGGGTGCCTTGGCAACAAGGTGTCTTTGGAGGCTTGCCTCACCTAATCACCAAGCAGTTTTGTATAATGTGTTATAATATACTTTTATTATTTTAATTTTTTGATATTATAATTATAAAATAGATATTATTAAATTAAAATATTTATTTTGTGTGTTATATGCTAATTTCTTTTTATTATTTCTTATTTGGTAGGGTTTAATCAATGCACACATTGCTAATTGCTGTATTGAACCCTCAATAAGGAAGAGTTTAAAACTACTACTACTACTACTACTCAAAGTTCAAAGTATTGATACAGTCCGATATGCCAAATGGGGTGTATTGGACTTTGTATCAACACTCTTTTATATCGTGACCCACCGATGCGTGACAAAATTTTGAACCTTGCTACTACTACTACTACTACTTATTTTCTTATAACAAAAATAGGTATTCAGCCCCTATATCTTTTGAATTTTCTTTTCTTTCTTCTTTATCTTCTCATGAATATGTTGGTTTTCTATACTTAACATGAAGTTTAATTCTTTTCTTATGAAAATTATGGATAATTATTAAGGGAACATGGTTATGGAACTTGGGGAACTACCCTAGGATATGTGTTTTTTATTTAAAAAAGTACACCACCTAGACAATTAGTCCACAAGGCGCCCTCTGTCGCGTAGCCTCGCCTTGGCACCTTGAAAAATATGCCTCCCAATATCGCACAAATCTTAAGTAAATAGGGAAGCCCTTGTTTTCTATCTTTTACTTATGAAAATGATTCTGTCTACAATTTAGCACATTTTGCCAGTTGAAAGATAAATGTGCTTTTCGATCCATGTAAGCTACTCATGCAATTTAATCTTCATATATCTGTTTTTTTTTTTTTTTTTTTTTTTTTGTTTTCACATGCGGTGTTGTGTTCTTTGGTGTTTCAATTTGCCTTGTTGGTTTCAAATTTCCCATTCTCTAATTACAGGAGACATGGAGGTGACTCTGATTACGGTGATGGGTTAAGGTAGCAAGAAATAAGTTTATTGTCCTCATGATGCTTGGGAGGTTTCCCAATTCTTCAATATTTGATGTAGATGTGAAAGGTTCAGAGACAGGTGATAATTGCAATTTTGTTGTAGTAGAGTTATATGTCGTAACTAGTAAGGTCTTGCGTTCTGTAAATATATTTTGTTTTAAGTTGAGTTCTGTAAAGGATTATAGTTATTGTGGAGAGCTAGAGGCAATTCATATTGTTTTGATCATATGCCTTTCTGTTTTTTATTTTCTTATATATAATATTCTGTGATCGGGACTGCGTCCTGTGAAGTATGTGTGATTTTATGTTCCATTGAGATCTGTTGTTTACAAGTGAAAAATGATAAACCTTTTTCTCCATCGGCCGACTTAGCGGAACCTAATGGAAAGTAACCTGCAGGCTGCATGTTGCGAGCTTTCATATTTAAAGTGTACTGCTCAACTGGGATTTCTAACTTGAAATAGTTGAACGATCGAAAGATTGTGACTTGTAAGGTGAGTGCACTTTGGGTAATACAACAATTAAATTAGTAGAATTAATTTCATGGAAGTACAGGGGTCATATTCCATTGCCTCTCGTGTGGCTTGTTGCGTTTGTTAGTGGCGTGGCAGGGATTTCGACTTGGAAAAGAATAAATTACTTTGGATTATTACAAAACCAATGTCTAGTGCCCGTTTGGGAGGACTTTTCCGCAGTGGCTTATGGCGTTGCAAGGTAGGCTTCGCATGGAAAGCCAGGAAGATGTAGTGCTGTTATTGAGCTGAGAAATCAACTTTCTGGTGAAGTTAGTTTGTGACATTGTGTAGCTTTTCTTAAAGTTGCTAGCTTTTATGTTTGCCTGCAAGTTACTAGTGGCTGTCACGAATGATAGGTCTAGATGATATGAAACTTGCAAGTTGCAATCCAAGAAGAACAAAGAGGAGATTAGCGCAAAAACAAGGAAGGCTAATGAGTAAACAAGCCCTTTAAAATTAGCATTTTAGCATTCCTTGATCTTAAGAGATGATAAAATCAACTCAGACGACCAAGTCTAATGTTCCTGTGTTCTTGAATTCCTTATTGTAATCAGTCTATGAGTACTTCTGGTGGTGTCTTTTAGGATACGCTTAAAAGTAGGGAAAATTCCCGGATCAGTACCTTGTAATTTAGCTCGAGTGACAATTTGGTCTCCAAACTTTAAAATGTGTCAATCCAGTATCCGAATTTTCAAAATGTGATAATCTAGTACCTGAACTGTCAAATGCGACAATCCAGTATCTGCCGTTAATCAGCTGTTAAGTGACATTTGAAAAGTAAAAAATGCCTTAAGAATGCCATCTAATTTTCTTTATCAACCATCTAGACATTGACAATAAAATGAACAGTCCCAAATTCTAGATTTTTCTAAACAGTCACCAGCTTTTTTGAATAGAAGAGGCTAGGATTTGGGATTGTTCATTTTTTTGTCAACATTTGGATGGTTGATAAAGAGAATTAGATGGCATTTGAAGGGCATTTTTGACTTTTTAAATGTCACTTAACGGCTGCTTAACGGATTAGTTAACGATAGGTACTGGATTGTCACATTTTGAAAGTTTAAGTACTAGATTATCACATTTTAAAGTTTGGGGACCAAATTGTCACTCGAGCCAAAGTACAGGGTATTGATCGAGATTTTCCCTTAATATATATATAATTTGGGGTATTTTATAAATAGAATTATAGGAATTTGGAGGTATTTTAGAAATTGGATTATGACATTAGGGATATTTTAGAAATGAAATTATGGAATCTTATGGTTTTACGTTTTAGGAATTTGGGTGAATTCAATGATATTTTAGAAATTAATACTAAACTTAGGGGTATTTTACTAATTTACCATGGGAGGGTTTAAGACTTGTCTGGAATAAAAACATTCCTCGAGCTCGGCTTTGGCTAGTGCAACGTTCATGCATTGGGAATCTCTCTATACTTATATGCCTTATTTCATAGGGAGATATTCCCAATGCAAGGTTGCGGAGGCTATTCGAATGGTGTGAGCACATGCTTGGATTGACTAAAGCCAAACTCCTATTCCCGATGCCCAGAACGAAAGTGTAAGCAGTTTTTTGATTGCCAGCCACTACGATCTCGGATTTCCCGCACTTGGTTATGTGTGTGTGTTGGAGTGCACTCCTAATCAACGTAGGACATGTGGGACTTTGCATGGCATCCCAGGTCACATTTGTGAATCATTTAAATTGACAGTTTGCAACATTTTTTTAATATCTCATATTTTCAAAATCAAACTACTGGGATCAAAGGTGATGAAATTCCTTAGGTCAACATTCTTGGTGGTACCATTGTCAAGACATACACTACTCTCTTGATTATGTAGTTAGTATGCCATCTTCCTTTGTCAAGGCACATTCTATTCTGTTAATTCTTGGGTTAGTTAAAATACTTCATTAAGATTGTTGTTCCAACTATTAGGTGTGTTCATGGTTCGATTTGGTGCGGTTTAGTGTAGATCTCATATCAAACTAGTAAAATACGGTTCTAAGAATTTCTCATACCATGTCAAACCGTTTTATTGTGGTTTGGTTTGCTTTCTAATATGTTTGGGCCATTCTAGTGGGTTTAACCTAATTAGAAAGCCCAAACAACATATGTGCTTGCATGAAAACTAAATGTTGTCTTTTAGTCATCATAAAATCAATGAATTGTTGTAATTATATGTATGTATGTATCTATTTTAGTTTACAATTTAGTTCAGTTTAATTTGGTGATTTGAACCGTATAATAAACAGCCCTACCCCCACCCAGGCTAGTTCTAGGGTTTAGGGGTTTACCCTATCCAAACCAACTCAACAAATTAACCTTGATTGGCCTTGGTGGAAACAACCTTGAAACCAAATTTGCTTTCAAATAAACCCCCAAATACTTTTGAGGATATGAAGATTTGAACCCAAGCATTCATAGTTACAAAGGCCATGGTCTCACTTGACCATTGAGGTACTCAAGTGATTTGATCATTTGTTTCCAGCTTTCCATTTTAATATTTGAATGTGTATAATGAGTAATGTAAAAGGTAATATTTATGAAATTTAAATTATTACGTTAATCCACATAGTAAATTATTCAATTTAATCAATAAAAATGATATAAAATTTAAATTATATAATATAATTATTGAAAATCAAGTTTTTAAAGAACATGTCATTTTTTTAAGGGGAGAGAGTAAAGAAAGAGCATGTTCCATGGGTAGACCTTGGAACCATCAAGGCCATAACCGACCTTGGAACTAACATTCACAGGGTAGGCTCCGGTTCCAAATGCCTTGGAATCGAACCAAACTAATAAAGAGTCACCAAGCGATGGACTATTTCTCCTAAAAAAGAGCTAGATTTTGGTATCGTTTAGCAAGTCTTTTTTAGAAGATCTTCTGGTAGACCTAACAATCAAAAGACGTTGTGAGGTTTTTCATTAAGATCTTAGAAACTTGATGACCGTTTGGTTAAGGTGCACCTTTCTATGTGAAAATGAGTTGAAAAAAAATGAAAAGCACCATTTGGAGCTTTCCAAAAATAGCCCAAAATGGGCTTCTTGAGTCTTTTCGGAGCAGTGGATATATCTTTTCCCAACCAAACGGGAAAAGACGAAAATGTGGGTTGCCAAGATTTTAAAAAGCTGATAGCGCATGAAAAGACGCACCAAATGGGTCCTTTACTCTTTTTTACTTGTGGTCTGATGAGGAATTTGATATGATAAACTGCTATCAGTTTTTCTTAGTTTTGTAATTGAATGATGAACTTATGCCCATGGCATTTTTTAGGCCTCATTTGTTTGCTAGTTTTTAGTGGGTAACTTGGCTAACCGGTAAATTGATCACAATACTTGCATTCATTTGTCATTATATTGAGTCCTACAACAATTTAGGATACCTAACTTTTGTGAAGTGGGTAAATAACTTAGGTACCCGCTTGTTGAAGACAATAAGTTCTCTCGCTCTCTCCAAGTAGCTGATAGCTTACAACACCATTAGAAAATTGCTTACTAGGGCAAGTTTTACCTGGAGAACACTTGCCCGAGTAATGAATGGGGCCTTACAAGTTTTTGCATCTATTTGTTTGTAACTATAATTTGCTCTTTTGATGCAAAATTTGTATTTTTTTTGTCTCATTCACATCAACTAACGGTACAAATGTTGCATCTAAAAAATTAATACAAAATTTGCCACACTTTCTTATACCTTGATTCTCTCCCATATAAAGTGTAGATTACATCAATTTGCTTCCCATTTTACTCCTCCCAAACGAATTACATTTTTACTTCTTAGGGGGATGTTGATTTTGAGAGGGGGGAAAGCTGGTCAATGGGATTTCGAGAGATTGGCCTTGATCACATTAAGTCAAAGGTCACAAACCTATCAAATTTCACTAAAGTGTTTCTCGATAGAAGATATTCTATCAAGATACAGGGGGTTGAACATTAAAGTAGCCAACTATTCATTTCCCTTGTCTCTTGATACAATGACTTCTATCAAGAAACAGGGGGGCTAAAGTATAGAAAGTATTGAGCTATACCTTGCAAAATGCTCCTATGATGTTTCTGTCACTTACACCTTCAAAAAACTCTGATGACCCAGAAAACAAATACGAGTCAACATAACACCCTGTCAAGAAGACAGGGGGGTTGAATAACAAAATGAAAACTCCCTATAACCATCCAAGAACATTACTAAGTTGAATACCACAATGCTTATTATCAAAAAGCAAGGGGGCTATCAAATATACCCAAATAAAATTTTTCCGCACGCAAAGTTCGCAGAGCATCTCACCAAGAACAGAAGCGATCACCAGACCCAATGCAAAAAGTTCTGGATGCCACAACATCCACAACATTAAAGAAAATGCTTATCAGTAAGCGGGGCTAATGTAGGTACATAGTGGTCACTAAGACCATCAGAGTACAAGAGGTGTCAAACCAACACTACAAGGGTGCCTGCGATGAATCCATAACCCATCGCACATTTACAATGAGTTCATCGTAGATCCACGATTGCAATGAACTCATACTCAAAATGGATCGCGATGAACATCAGTTAGCGTGGATCTGTGATAAACCTTAGACATACATAAAATTGCGGTAAAGCTTAGACACGTGCGAATCTGTGATGATCTATAGAGGTGCATGCGGATTTACGATGAACTTCGAAAGTGTGTTAGTTGCAATGAACCTGAGACCATTATAGAACCATGGAATCATAGTAGATCTAGAGTAAATGTTGGTTACACGTGTGTACACATGCAAGTTTAATGAAAGTACGCCCGCCAAACGAAGATGTCACCCGCGCCACGCCAATATAATAGGACCGCATACGGGGACAATCCTGAAGGGA